AGATGAAAGGAGTATATAAATATTTATTATAAAAAAATAATAATATTGATCCATACATTTTTCCAAAAGTTATATAAAATATAAATTAAATAATATAAAATATAAAATCGAGAATTTTTTCACGGAAATCGTACGTTTTCCTTTAAATTTGANCAAGAATTTTAACACAAAAATAGCAAATTTTTGAATACGGTAGTCATTTTTACCATGAAGACAAATTCAGAGGTCAAATTTTTTTTTTTCAAATTAAAGTATATTACATTAGCTTTAATTTAAGATATATATAAAAGTGTCTTTCCGGAACATTTTCAAATGTTAAGTTGAAAAAGTTAATTTTTTGTAAAAAAGTTACCATTTTGAAACCCCTCCTGTGGTCTGTTAAAGGGTCAAATGTTCACAAAAATATATAAAATGATAGGTAAATATCTAAGATATTTATAAAAAAAAAATTATATTGATTCGATCATTTTTAAAAAAGTTATGGCACTTTCAAGTAAAAAAAATTGAAAAAATATCGAAAATTAGCGATTTTTAAATTTGTAATTTTTAGGGGGATTTCCCCCGTTTGCGGGAAACGAGGCAATTTTTTTCAATTTTTGAGGGTTATGTCTTCGACTAGATACGATTTGTGATCTTTTGACATATTGTTCATTAAAATCGGTCCAGCGAGAGCTGAGATTGAGCGTTCACAGACACAAAAAAAAATAAAAAAAAAAAAAAAAACACATCATAGTAAAATTAATACCTTCTCAGCTTCTCATCGAAGCTAAAATTGAGATCCTATTAAATGTCAAAAAACCTCTGAGATTAAATTTCTTACCAAGCCTATTTTAATGTTTGATAACTCTCTCTTCTTACTTATTTAAACAATTCTAAAAAAATCGATCTTTTTCCCTCAGAAATATTAATTAAAATTTTCACTTATGGTGTCAAAAAAAGGGTATACACTTTTAACATGTAATAAATACATCATGTTTTAGGTTCCTGTGTTATTAACAATAAGTCATATTAAAAAAGGGGAAAATTTTTCTCACAAATAAACAGACAGACTGGGATCTTTTCAGAATGGCCTTAGAAAAAACTATCACACTTTCTGTACAGTTGAAAACAGCAAGTGACATAGAAACAGTAATACATAAATTAACTAATGATATTGTCAAAGCGCCAAAAAAAACTACTCCAGAAACTTGTAAAGACAGATATCGTGAGACAACCTATCCAGCAGAGATAAAAGAACTTATTCGGCAAAAACGCAGAGCTAGAAGAAATGGCACACTACCCGTAATTTAGCAGATAAAACTGAATGGAATCGCTTATGGAAAGCGCTTCGTGAGAAAATCAAAGAAGTTAAAAACGAAACATTTAAGCGGACTATCTACTACAGTTTCTAGCGATTATTCTCTATGGAAAGCTACAAGAAAAATGAAAATACCTCGAGCTTATTGAACTCCTATTCGTAAAGAAGATGGTACGTGGGCACGTACTGATATGGACAAAGCAGAAGCATATGCACTTCATTTAGAATATGTTTTTCAACCGAAAGACATAAATTCAGAACTTGACCAAGTAGAATACCAACCATCAAACGAAATTGATTACAAAATACGCCACTTTACACCATTAGAAGTTGCACATGAAATTCATACAAACATCAATCCTAAAAAAGCATCGGGCTATGATGAAATCAGCCCTCGTATTCTGAAAGAATAACCAAAAAAAGCTATCATTCAACTAACTCATATTTACAACGCTATAATACGCACACATTATATTCCAGAACAATGGAAAAAGACGCAAGTAATCATGTTGCTGAAACCTGGCAAGCCACCAGAGCAACCTTCTTCATATAACATCACTCTTACCTAATATGGCTCTTAGAAAAGCTTCTTTTAAAGCGCCTCAAACCTTTAATAGTAGAAAAAAAACTTATACCCGATCATCAATTCGGTTTTAGAAACAAACATTCAACTGTAGACCAAATGCATCGTGTAACAAAGGTAATAAGTAATGCGTTTGAAGAAAAAAATTATTGTTGCGGAGTATTCCTTGACATAGCCCAGGCTTTTGATAAAGTCGGGCATAAAGGCCTGCTTATAGAATTGCGTGAACAACTACCAGACTCATGGTATACACTACTAGAGTCTTATTTAACTGAAAGACAGTTCCGCGTCATACATGACGAAGCTTTAACTAATTGGAAAAACATAGCAGCTGGAGTTCCACAAGGTAGTGTATTGTATCTACTTTACACGGCCGACATTCCGACCATCATAAATTCAACAACCGCTATGTTTGCAGATGATACTGCAATATTAACAACTAATAAAAATCAACAGATAGCTACTGATCAGATTCAAATAACCTTAAACAACATTTCTACGTGGTTGAAACGTTGGAAGATCAGGGTTAACAATGAAAAGTCAGTGCACGTTAATTTCACGTTACGTAAAACATGTAACATTCCAATATTTCTGAATCAACAAATAATCCCACAGAGAGATTCGGCTAAATATTTGGGAATGCACCTTAACTGCCGCCTGAATTGGAAACATCATGTACGCCAGAAAATACTGCAAATAAAGGATAAAATGCGCGGACTCCATTGGTTAGTTGGAAAACATTCTGAGCTATCACTAGAGAACAAACGTCTGTTATACGTAGCGATCGTAAAATCTATCTGGACTTAAGGAATTCGATTGTGGGGTTGTGCCAGTAAGTCCAACATAGATGTTATACAACATTGTCAAAATATCGCGATTCGTACAATCGTCTCGGCTTACAGATTCGATAGAAATAATGTAATTCATCAAGATATGATGTTGCCAACCGTAGCAGATGTAGTCACTCGATTTGCAAGTAAGCATATAATAAGGTTGGAAAACCATGAAAATATAGCGGCAATTCAACTATTGGACAATACCAATGACTTAAGACGTTTAAAACGCGTCAAGCCATATGACTTGGTTTAAATTTATAAATATTTATTTTAAAATTTTAATATTATTTATCATTATTAGACTAAGTTAGGGACCACTTCACTGGAAGTGTAAATTCCATTTTTGTTCATGTTGTATTAGTATATATATATATTAATTAGTAAAATTTATATTTATTAATTGTTATTTATAATTTTGATAACCATTTAATTGTATTGATTAAGATTTATGATCGTCTCAATATAAAGTACCGTAGAGTAGTTAAAAAAAATGTTTTTGGTAATAAATACCTCTCCAAAATAGCTAACAACACAAAGACCATCGTAATATTTTAAAGCTTCATTAAAAGTTCCGTAGTCAATTTTATGATGTACCAAGTGAATTTCCATAGCGTAACTGTAAATAGATAAAAATTGAAACATGCAAATTTTTTAAAATTTTTAATTCAGGTTTATAAATATTTCAAAATAAATTTTAATGTAATTTACAATATAAAATTGCATACTCAATAAAAACGCAATTAGATACGATTTTTAAACACTCAAAAATAATTATATTTTGTTTTAATACAGTTAATAATATTAGTATAAAAGGGTTTAAAAAATAAGGAAATAGGTCAATGAGAACAACAGAAAACCTTTTCCTTACTTACTGAACACTATATACTCTTAAATTAAAAATGTTGGCCAATGGCCTTAGCTATTACGCATTTTATACTGTAAGAACATTTATTACTATGTTCTTACCACTTATATTACACACGTTTTATTTCTATTTATTTAATTCATAATACATATTAATTAACATAGAGGGAGATGCTGATGTGACAATTCTACTCGTCTGCTACTGACGTCAAACTAACAAAGGGCTGTTGTGTTTGAATGGCCGTTATAGNGCAGTTGTGTTTGAGTGGCCGTTATAGACATAGTTTTCAATATTATTACTTTCGTCTTATTTATATTATTTATAACTTAACTTGTTTTATTCAACGACCCTCTCTCACTTGGATATACCTACTAAANTCACTTGGATATACCTACTAACCAACTGTACTAGGATTCAGGTCAGACGTATTGTACATTACATATAACTTATATTTACTAAACATCTAAAATATAACTTTACTTTGTCGTTGACATAAAACAATAGTCTAATTTTATTTAATAATCTATCCCCTGTAACTAAGGTACACGATTGCCTGTGTCTCCTTCAAGCAATTAAAACTCATTTAAGGAGATAGGGACGATATTTGAGCAGACATCGGGAAGCTTCCGATTCTTGGTTTTGACCAAGATCCTCAACTATTAAACAATTTAAAAAAAAAAACCCAACACACGGGGGGTCGCGGCACAATGGTGACGTGGCATAGTTGGATCAAGTATAATGATATCTGACAATGATTAAAATCACTATCAAAGTAAAACGCTTCGATGCAAATCTTTAGATAGTGTTTAATTTTAAAAAATGGGTGTATTATTCCAAAAGCTACATGATCTACTAGTTTCTTATTAATATCCTATTTAAGATAAAGTATGTCAAATGAAAAAGGGATTATTAAAAAATATTATTTCTCATAAAGCAATTATGTTGATCCATACACTTTTCAATAAGTTACAGCATTATAAAGTTAAAAATGTAAAAAATAAAATCGAGAATTTTCACACAATAATAGCATTTGGTGGCCATTTTCACCGTGAAGATAAAATTAAGTCCGAAATTTTTTTTTTTTCATAATAAATTACATTACATTAGCTTTAATTTAAGATATATATAAAAGTGTCAGACTTTCCGGAACATTTTCAAAAGTTAATTTTTTGTGAAAAAGTTGTCATTTTAAATCCCCCTCTGTGGGCAGGTTAAGTGTCAGATTTACAAAAATTATATGCCAAATGATAGGTAAAGACATCAAGCATCTATAAAAAAAAAATTATATTGATATGATCATTTTTGAAAAAGTTACGGCAGTTTTTAGTAAAAAAAATTGAAAAATTTTCGAATATTAGCAATTTTTAAATTTGTAATTTTTTTGGAGGTTTCCCCCATTTACGGGGAACGAGGGAAATTTTTTCAATTTTTGAGGGTAATATATTCGATTAGATACGATTTGTGATCTTTTGACGTATCGTTAAAAGAAATCCGTTCGGTGAGAGCTGAGAAAAAATGGTAACAGACACACAAAAAAAAAACACATCATAATAAAACCAATACCTTTNGACACACAAAAAAAAAACACATCATAGTAAAACCAATACCTTTTCAGCTTCGCATCGAAGCTAAAATATATTAATATAATTGAATTAGTAAATCGAATCTAGCATGAAATACGCATTAGCAAGATAGATACTACTTAAAATAGTATCTATCTTAAGGATAGTAGTACAGAATAATTATTGTCATATGTTTGTTTATAAATTAAAATTTTTAGCTTTTGACTAGTATCGTTTAGAAGAGAATTTTTTAACAATATCCTGTCCCCTATTAAAAAATCCTATCTACTACATTTAGACTTTTATTGAAGAATATATAAATAGTATATTTTAACGAGAATTCAACTCGAAAAGTATATAATGAACTTTTTTTTGATATTGATAGTATAAAGCCACTTACACATAGATCATAAACTTTAATTTAACATATGTTTAAATATCAAAGTATTCCGGAATATTTTAGACTTAAATTAAAAAAATTCTTCAGCTTTAGACCTCAAAAATATTGAGTCGAATTAAAATTTTTTTTCATAATATTGTAAAACATTAAAATTTATTTTCCTGATTCATCATGGTAATGAATACCTTTGTCCGTTAAATTTATGTTCGCTTCCTTCATCATGTTCACCCCAGTGAAGATGTAATTGATCGAACATATAAAGATCATCAAACAATGGGCCTCCGGTCACGCCAATTGGTATATTTTGTTCGTCGTTAGTCAATGAAACATACACTAAATGTAATAGATGGTAAAATAAATTTTATAATTGTAAATTAATTAATTAAATACCAGTGTGTCCATTATTTGTCACATTGACTAAAATTTCATCATCACCCCAGTATCCAACATGTTGAAAAGGTGGTAACATCACTTGAGTTGCGTTACTTGTGATAATGTTGACTGGAGACTGTATTCTATGAGGAGGACGAACTTTTAGAAATGGCCAATTTGATTTGTATAGTAAATCATCAGTACTTTCAAGACGATAAGATGAATTCAATTCTAGGTATAGTTTTATTTTGTAATGTAAAAAAAATTATTTTATTATCAAAGGCGTTCTCCAGACAAAATTTGAAAGATACGTGCAAGATATATTTTTATCTCTATTGGAGATAAAAATATATCTTTTTTATTAAAAATACAAAAAATTAAATTAAAGTTCGCTCAATTTACTAAAAAAAAGAAGTCTTACAGTAAAAAAATTTTGTTAATTAATATAAACTGCTAAAATTGATTTTAGAAACTGCTAAGGTATTTCTTGCAAATAAATTAATTTTACTACAACCCATTTGAAAATATCGAGAACATCGCTGTTTTACAGACAACCTATTTAAATTAATTTAATTTAATGAAAATATTTAAACTTACCATGAGAAGTCAATGCTAGCTTAAAAAAAGATTTAACTGTTAATGTTTGAAATATTAAATACATCAAACTTCCAAGAGACGTCATGATCATAAAATCATTTAACATAAGAGTATTCTCTGATATTTGTGGATTAAATATGGTAATTTTTTACTGATTTAGTGATGTTTGTAAAAATAGTTGGTGGAATATCAAAAAACTAATGATCTATAATATTTATTCATAGTTAGTAGTATTTAATTAGGTGTTTATAATCACTGTTACTACGTGTGTCATTGTAGTTTACTGCGTGGTGATCATATCAAAAGGAATATTATAACTGTTTGATGGCTACTTTATTGATATTATGTTGATGAATAAACTATTAAAAAATGTTGGTGGGAGATAATAATAATAATAACAGTTAAATAATACATTTAGATAAAACTTCGTAATAATGCACCGGTATTTTTTTTGCAAATGCTTAAAATAAAATACTATTGTTAAATGTGGTTTTTAACTTGCGACGATGTATTTAATTAAAATTCAACATTGTTTCGTAATAAATAAATAGCATCAACAATATGGTATTTAAATAGACAAACTACAGAATACAAACCAACGGTTAAAGATAGCTCAGCATGATTTACAAGTAAAGTCAGTCGTATTATTATAGAGAGTGACTACAATTATAATATAACGGTTAACTTTTTTGACTAATTTTATCTTGCTGAAATTACGTTTTATAACACTGCACGGCCTTAATATGAACTGAAAATGTACATTGGGATAAATGCCTTAAATACCCTTCCCCAAATGACCTCACTGTTAACAAAATATTTTTACATTCGTCATTAGCATTATATTTTTTTCAATTTTAATTACGTGTTATTCGACTTTAATTACACAACTACCTAAATAGTAATTAAAAAGACCCAGCATAGGGGGGTCGCGGCACAGTGATGCCATGGTATAGTTGAATCAAGTATAATGATATCTGACAGTGATTAAAATCACTATCAAAATAAAACGCTTCGATGCAAATCTTTAGATAGTGTTAAATTTTAAAAAATTGGTGTATTATTCCAAAAGCTACATGATCTGCTAGTTCCTTATTAATATCTTGATTAAGATAAAGTATGTCGAATGAAAAAGGGATAATTAAAAAATATTATTTCTCATAAAAAAATTGTGTTGATCCATACACTTTTCAATAAGTTATAGATTTAACTATAAATTTAAAAATGTAAAAATTAAAATCTAGAATTTTCACACAAAAATAGGATTTGGTGGCCATTTTCACCGTGAAGATAAAATAAAGTCCGAATTTTTTTTTTTTTCATAATAAATTACATTACATTAGCATTAATTTAAGATATATATAAAAGTGTCAGACCTTCCGGAACATTTTCAAAAGTTAAGTTGAAAAAGTTAATTTTTTGTGAAAAAGTTGTCATTTTAAATCCCTCCTGTGGGCAGATAAAGGGTTAAATTTACAAAAAAAAAAAACCAAATGATAGGTAATGACATCAAGAATGTATAAAAAAAAAAATTATATTGATATGTTCATTATTGAAAAAGTTATTTCGAAAATTAGCGATTTTTAAATTTGTAATTTTTTTGGAGGTTTCCCCCATTTACGGAGAACGAGGGAAATTTTTTCAATTTTTAAGGGTAATGTCTTCGACTAGATACGATTTGTGATCTTTTGACATATCGTTGAAAGAAATCGGTCCAGTGATAGCTGAGAAAAAGTGGCAACAGACATAAAAAAAAAAACACATCATAGTAAAACCAATACCTTCTCAGCTTCGCATCGAAACTAAAAATTTAATTAAAATTTATTGTTTAACTGATATGTTATGATTAGTTATATTGCGTCACCTTTTTTCATTTATAAGATATATAAATAATTTATTTTGGTAAATATGTCTAATTGGAACTGTCATAATTTATACATATAAACATGGACGGCGCCAAAATTTTTTTCCTTGAGAGGCGGCAATTTTTTTGAATGGGCGAATACAACACTAAATCTATCGGTAAAAATAGTTTAGTGATTTATAAATAATACGCCTATTAACTTTGCATAACCTACTGCATATCATATCATAACATAACACACTAGTAATGTTTAAAATGAAAATACAATCAATGAAAAATGTCAGATTTTTTTAAACAAGCATTATTCTGCGGTTGTGATGAGTAGCAGAAAATTGTCCACAGTGGATTCCAAGTCTAGGTTTTTAGAAATATTTTTCTTTGTAGAAAAAACTGCTAAATCTGATAATCTCGTGTTGATCATTTTATTTTAAAGATTTATTTTGAGAATTTAAGGAACTAATACCAGATAATATTGGATTATTATCAGAAAATCTTTTTTATAATTCATTGATCATTCGATCAATTACTGGAAAAAATATAATTGTCCTTAAATCATTCTTACTCATAATCTCCCTATTTTCAGAAATCGGTAGTTCTGTAATGTATGATACAAATTTAGCAGGCAATTTAGGAAAAGTTCTTCTATGTGTGTTTTCTTCCGGTAACGGTATGTTATTAATTTTAGCAAACAAAACAACTTTTTCCAAGAGAACATCAAATAATTTATCAACTCTTCGGAAATGTTTATGATAATCTATCAATGATTTGATCATTATACAACTTGTACCTAAATCTGATTCGGATAGTTGTAGAAAATCAGAAATAATGTTTATTTGACTAAATGTATCACAAAAGAGGTGTGAACAATTAATTTTGAAAAAATTCAAAATTAAAGTGAAGCAAAATTAATTTAGCTTCCATACTATTTTCGCATTTTAATTCTATGCTAATTTTATTTAGTACTAATTTAACAGAAAATGTTTCTCTAACAGCAATACATGCAGATATTTGGCAAATCCACCTCTGGATTTATAAATATACAAATAAACCTATAGTTTATTTATATGATATAAATAAACAGTAGCGTATTTAGGGGGGAGAGGGATTGCCAATATTTTTATATTACTAATATGTAGCGTAAACCATTGATATGTATTCAAATTAAATTATATTCTTTAAAACCATTTGAGAAACATATTGAAAATTCGCTACTAAATAAACAAATAATTTAATAATAATTTTTTAAAGCAAATAAGAAAATTTATTTTGTATTAGATGTATTTTATTTGTTATTTTAAAACTATGTGAACGACTAAATATTATAATAATTTTTTTTATAATTATTTAAAAAATCATAAAATTGGAATATTGGTTATATTGGTTTTACATACCTATATTTTAGCTTCGATGCGAAGCTGAGAAGGTATTGATTTTACTAAGATGTGTTTATTTATTTATTTATTTTTTTTTTGTGTCTGTTACCACTTTTTCTCAGCTCTCGCTGAACCGATTTCTTTCAATGATACGTCAAAAGATCACAAATCATATCTAGTCGAAGACATTACCCTCAAAAATTGAAAAAAATTCCCTCGTACCCCGTAAATGGGGGAAACCTCTGACACGGTACCGTGTTTCCCTCAGCCGCACATCACATTATCAACCTCAATGAAAGTGTATCGGGATCTGAATCATAAGTGCACGGTGGCCTAGAGGTAAGGTTTGTCTATACGAAGCCTTGGGTCGCGGGTTCTAATCCCGAATCGTATCTCTTATTTTCACATGATTTCCGGTACACTTTCTATAACCGCCCGTCAATCCCCGGCGGCCGTGTTACCTCCAAAAAAATTACAAATTTAAAAATCGTTAATTTTCAAAATTTTTTCAATTTTTTTTACTTAAAATTGCCATAACTTTTTAAAAAAAAACCGAATCAACATTATTTTTTTTATATAGATGCATGATATCATTACCTTTCATTTGGTATATTTTTTTTTTTATATCTAACCCTTTACCTGCCCTGACTTTTGAAAATGTTCCGGAAAGTCTGACACTTTTATATATATCTTAAATTAAAGCTAATGTAATGTAATTTATTATGAAAAAAAAAAATTTCGGACTTCATTTTATCTTCACAGTGAAAATGGCCACCAAATGCTATTATAAAAGTGTATGGATCAACACAATTTTTTTATGAGAAATAATATTTTTTAATAATCCCTTTTTCATTCGACATACTTTATCTTAATCAGGATATTAATAATATTTAAGGATATTAATATTAATATTATTGATATTAATATTAAGGATATTAATATTAAGGAACTAGCAGATCATGTAGCTTTTGGAATAATCCACCAATTTTTTAAAATTAAACACTATCTAAAGATTTGCATCGAAGCGTTTTTTTTTATAGTGATTTTAATCACTGTCAGATATCATTATACTTGATCCAACAATGCCATGTCACCACTGTGCCACGACCCCCCTGTGCTGGGTTTTTTATTTAATTAGGGGATTTGTTTTCAATTTTTGAAGGTAATATCTTCAACTAAATACGAATTGGAATCTTTTGACGTATCATTGAAAGAAATCCGTTCGGTGAGAGCTGAGAAAAAGTGGTAACAGACACAAAAAAAACACATAATAGTAAAACTAAGTTTCGCATCGAAGCTAAAAATGTTTGTTGATACATACATTATTCAAAAAGTTATAGCAATTTAATGTTGAAAATTTAAAATCGAAAATTTTAACTCAAAAATAGCATTTTTTTTAACAACGGAGGTCGATTGCACGTAGAAGATAAGATGTCGGGACAAATGGGAGATTTTCCCCATTTACGGGGAACGAGGGAAATATTTTCAATTTTCAAGGGTAATGTCTTCAACTAAGTAAAATTTGTGATCTTTTGACATATTGTTCATCAAAATCGTCCAGTGATAACTAAGAAAAAGTGGTAATAAACACAAAAAAAAACACATGATGGTAAAACTAATACCATATCAGCTTCGCATCATAATTCAAAATCATGTTATTTCTATAAAGCAGACAAAGTGTTCTTAATTTTATAGATGCAACTAAAATAAGTTTTTAGAATGCTTATTTTACTTGTATTGGAGTACTTATTGTACTCTAATATAAAAAATAATGATATTCGTAATTTTTTAGAGTTTATATTCTTATTTACCTATTATTTAATTTTAAATGAGGAAGATGGGTTATAATAAAACTTTATTTTATAAATAATATCATCACATCATTAAATAACTAATCGATATTTTTCAGTTAAACCAATTTGGAGAATAAATAATAAATACTAAATTACTAAAATACACTTACCATTATACTATATAAAATGTTATAAGTTATACATTTTAAATTATCACTTGCAAATAAATTCATTTTAATAACTTTAATTTAATTAAATTTATGAGTTTAATCTTTTAATTTTATAATCGAAAACTTAAGACGAGATATTCCTTCAGTATCCGTACACAATTGGTCGATCATTGAATGGTTGTAAAGGTCGATCATTTTCATTTATTAAGATGCCGTTTTTGCTTGAATGTAAATTTCTGAACTTTTTTAACTGTAATCAGATAGATAAAATGTTGATAGCTTGATCGAAATATAAGTAATTACGTTATAAAATTTTTTATTAGTAAAAAAGCAAACCTGTGCTCTTGATATTGGTATAGGTTTCGTAAATATAATCCAAATAACGCATTCAGCATATGGTGGTGTCGTTAAAGATCCATGGTAAGTGTAATAATGTTGTTTTAATGCAGTGTCCTTTATCCAAGAAAATTCTTCTTTAAATGGTCTAATAATGGATGTATTCATATTTTCTATAAATTTTAAATCATCAACGAAGTTTGTCATCTCGAGATTATTTTGCGTTGTTACCTTTTTTATTAAAAAAATTTATGTAAAAAGATCAACTTGATACTACTTTTTCAATTATGCAATTAAGATTTCAGTGATCAGTGGCGCAATTACTGGAGATACTAAGGCTCTAGTACTTAGTAATTACTGAAAGTACTAGGGTCCAGTACCTAACTTTTAATACCTATAGTTATAACTATATATTTTTTTATAAAAATTTATCAGAACAAATGAGAAGATGATGCAAACTCTCTTCTTTAATATGCTCAAAATTACATACTAAATATTAAATATATATTAGATTACTTGTCCAAAAAATCCAATCACACAAATTCCATCTATGAAATTTTGGGCGTTTTCGTATGAACCATACTTTTTTTTGTAGTGGACAATATGAACTTCCATAGCATATCTAAAATAGATCATTGCATACAATAAACGTTTTGACCAAGAATGAATTTTATTCGTAGTTACAGTGGAACATAATAAAGGGTATTATGTGGTTATAAACCCCTGAAATAGATAGCTATTCTTACTATTTAATATGAATTTGCAATGATAAGTCAATATTGAGTTAAAGAACTATTCTCTGCTCATAAACTTTTAAGTATACATCTCTAATTTGGTAATTTCAATAAATATATAAATTGTTTATCAATACAAACATTAGCGATAAACGATTCTTTTATAAAAAGACTATAATAAAATGGATGTTTAATTGTTTTTAATAAGTAATTATATATGTATGTTCCTTACTGATGACCATTGACCTTGTGTTCACTTCCAAAATCATCTTTGCCCCAATGGAAATGCAATTGTACAAACTCATATTTGGCATCAAATAGAGGCCCTCCAGAAACATATGGTATTTCATCAGAAGTATTAGCCAATTGAACTCTAACTTATGATAACAAAAACACTTACAACACTTGCATAAAATATAATTTTTAAGCATATGTGTATTTGAAAAATTATCTATTTTTAAATGAATAACTTAAAAGGTAATAGAATATATAGGTTGGGTTTCTCCCACCTTATTTTACTTCAACCGATGAAAAGAAGTTTTTCAATATTAAAATCGAGAAAATCGAATTTTAAGATGTCAGGCAAAATAGATTTTATAGTTCCCTTAAAAAAGATGACTTCACTAGGCCTTTACCTATCTTAATACTTTTTAATAAATTCTGTCAAGCACATAGTCAGGATTTAATTTTAAGTGAGTATAATAGAAAATTACACTTCTTCTCTTAATATTATCATGTTTAATCTTATAACTTCAATAAAGGAGGTACAGACCTTACAAAATTTTCTCTGGCTGCGTGTCTGAATTTTGTTAATTTGATAGGTAAAAATAAAGAATTTATAATTTAATTTTATAAAAAGTCTATCAGTTTGAATATTATTAATTTATCAACATACTGTTGTAACTTAAACTAAAAATATTTTCGCTGAAATGTAAAAAAAAATCACCATTAACTTTGTTTTTGATACCATATAGTTTTCAATATAAGGTAAAAATTATTAGAGTTACTACAGTTTTAAATCAAGTGTACAATGTAATATTCAGATCAACTTCACAGGCACGTAGACAAGGGTGGGCCTGGGTGGGCATGGCCCCCCTTAGATTTAATGTGGCCCAGGGCCGGCCCCCCAAATTTAAAATTCAATTATTTTTACGAATTATCAAAAACGTGCTAGGCCTTACATACATTGAAATTATTATTAATTTGTGATTACTATTGAGTAATACAGTTATTATTATGGCTGTATTTTAATTTTTATAATCATAGAAAACGTTATTTGAAAAAGATAACGTTCTAGACGTAATAATAAATAGAATAGCAATTACTCCAAACGTGATTGCAGGTAAATTTTTTTTAACTCTGGTCCAACAAATGATAACAAACTAAGAAGTATCTGCATTGATTAGAATCTAGTTGATTACAAAATTCGATAGAGTATACTCTATGAAAAATATTTTGATAAATCTTATCTTTAATTTGTTTCTTTTTTTATAATTTAGTAGTTACAATAAGTAATTTATTTGTTTTTGTTAATTTGTTATTTGCGTGCTCTAAATAAAAGTAATAAAAATATGACTAAAAAAAGGCAGGAATTGTTTTTAATTTTAAATAAAATAAATTTTACATTGTTTATAATTTATAATTATTTAAAAATTTTTTATAACTTATTAGCTTCGATGCGAAGCTGAGAAGGTATTAATTTTACCATGATGTGTTTTTTTTTATTTTTTTTTTAATTTAAAAATTTTAATTCGACTCAATATTTTTGAGGTATAAAGCTGAAGAATTTTAGCTTCGATGCGAAGCGGAGAAGGTATTAATTTTACTATGATGTATTTTTTTTTTTTTTTTTATTTCTATGTGTGTTTTCTTCCGGTAACGGTATGTTATTAATTTTANTTTTTTTTTTTTTTTTTATTTAGGATAGATTTTTTTTTTTTTATAGAATTTCTTAATAGGAGACAGGATATTGTAAAAAAATTCTTTTCTGAACGATACTAGTCAAAAGGTAAAAATTTTAATTTATAAACAAACATATGAACAATAATTATTCTGTACTACTATCCTTAAGATAGATACTATTTTAAGTAGTATCTATCTTGCTAATGCGTATTTCATGCTAGATTCGATTTACTAATTCAATTATATTAATATATTTTAGCTTCGATGCGAAGCTGAGAAGGTATTGGTTTTAGTATGTGTTTTTTTTTTTGTGTGTCTATTGCTACTTTTTCTCAGCTCTCGCTGGACCGATTTCTTTCAAAAATACGTCAAAGATCACAAATCGTATCTAGTTGAAGAAATTACCCTTAAAAATTGAAAAAATTTCCCTCGTTCCCTGTAAATGGGGGAAACCTCCAAAAAAATTACAAATTTAAAAATCGGTAAATTTTGTCATTTTTTTCACTTTTTTTTCATAAAACTTCCATAACTTTTTCAAAAATCAACAAATCAACATAATTTTTTTTTATGCTAAAACCTTAGATATTTCCCTTTCAGTTTATATCATTTTTTTGAAAATCTAACATTTAATCTGCTCATTGGGGGGGATTTAAAATAGCAACTTTTTTACAAAAACTAATTTTTTTAACTTAACTTTTGAAAATGTTCCAGAAATACTGCGTCCTTTAAACATATGTCAAATTAAAGCTTATGTCACGGACTATAAAAAGAAAAAAAAAATTTGTCCCGACGACCTATCTTCTATGCACAAAAGGCTACCGTATTCAAAAATATGCTATTTTTGTAATACAATTCTGGGTTTTGTATTTTATTTTATCTTAAAATATCTTATTAAGGGAATATACTGACTTTCATGAATATTGTTCTATTAAAACTTTCACTTTAAAGGACAAAAAAAAGTACGTTCAAAATGATCACTTTTAACCTATTAAAAATCAAAATCAATAATAATTTAAAAACAATTAATTTTAAAAATTATATAATATAAAATTAAAAGAAAAACTAATCTGGGTATAATTAAGGAAATAGAAGTTGATGTTGCTTTTGTCCATCAATTTTTTAGAATTAAACACTATCTAAAGATTTGCATCGAAGCGTTTCTTATGATAGGGATTTTAATCACTGTCAGATTAAATCTATACTGGACCTAACTAGGCAACATCCCCACTATGCCGTGACTTTTGTTTCTTTGAAGTCGAGAAAAATAACTTTAAAATTTGAACTAGCTAAATTTCCATTTTTATTAAGTGACGAATGAGACGTACGGTTTTTGAGACGGTAACACTGAAAAAAATACGATTTTTGTAAAAAAATTATTTTTTATATTTTTAACTTTATAATGCTATAACTTTTTGAAAGATATATGGATCAATATAATTCTTTGTTTTATAAATCTGACCCTTTACCTGACCACGGGAGGGATTTAAAATGACAACTTTTTCACAAAAAATTAACTTTTTCCACTTAAATTTTTAAAATGTTCCGGAAAGTCTGACACTTTTATCTATATCTTAAATTAAAGCTAATGTAATGTACTATTTTATTTTAAAAAATTTCGGACTTTATTTTGTCTTCACGGTGAAAATGGCTATCAAATGCTATTTTTGTGTAAAAATTCTCGATTTTGTATTTTACATTTTTAATTTTATAATGCTATAACTTTTTGAAAAATGTATGGATCAGCACAATTTATTTATGAGAAATAACATTTTTTAATAATCCCTTTTTCATTCTATATCTTAATCAGGATATTAATAAGGAAATAGCAGATCATGTAACTTTTGAATTAATCCACCAATATTTTAAAAATAAAGGGAGTCCCCCACAAGCTTTTCATGGGAAACAAATTATGGAAATTGATACAAGGGCCCAAAATTGTTGGCCCCTCCAATAAACATTTTCTGGCTAGGTGCCTGCAACTTCAGATTTAGGCAATATGAAGCTTGGGCTTCAACATTAAATAAAATTTCTGAATTTTAACCATCATTAAAGTTTCTTACTTAATCTATGTTTTAAAAACATCTAAATATCGACCATGGTACTCTTGCCTTTAAAAAAAATTCTACCAAAATATCACAAAACTAATTGTTAAACGTCTCTATTATTTTAATACTAAAATATAAGTTCCAAAAACTTGAAAAAATTACTAAATTACATTATCATTTGATTTTCTGTTTCACAATATAATAATGATGTATAAACAGTGGTCGGATTTGGGGGGGGGGATACGGAGGGATGCCATCTCTCTACTTTTTTTAATTTACATTTTTCATACCTCTACTTATTATCTCTAAAATAATACATCCCCCTTATTATTCAATGTGTATTCAGATTATCGACAATAATGGAGGGCATCCCTCCACATATTTGAGCCACTACGACCACTGTGTATAAAGGAAAGCTCAGTCTCTCTTAAATGCCTCACAAAATCTACTATTTTTTTTTTTTGATATTTATCTAAGTTTTATGGAACTTTTACGTTCATAAAATTATATATTTTTTATTTTCTCTTTATAAAAAGATATTAAATATATTTTTATAGTGTCCTGCAGTGCATTAATCATCATTTTAGTTAACTAAAATGCAGATACCTGTGTGACCAGTATTTTTAATTTCTACTTGAGAATTTTCTAGAGTCCAATAGCCAGTTGTACGCAAAAATGGTAAAAATCTTCTTACAGCATGCTTCGTTGATATGTCTACTGGAGACTGTTCAGACATATTATATTCATTTATTACGTATGGCCAACCATCTGGAACGACTATGCCTATGAGAAAAATTAAATAATTTAAAGTTAAATTTTTAATAAAATTGTTTACAAATATTTTCTATTCAATTTATTTTCTATTTGTATGTATATATAAATATAAAGAATTTCTACAAGACAAAAGACTTCATAAAAATTTAGTACTATCATTTGTGAAAAACTTAAATTTATAACCGTTCTTAAGATTTGGGAGGTCTAGAGCAAAAATTATTGTAATATAATTTATTTTTTTTCACAAGTACGATATTCTAATTTAGTTTCTTAATAAAAAAAGTGCGAAGCTTAGGATCTATGTTTTGCTAATTATAATTTAAGAACGGCCCTGCCTTACTCTGAAAAATTAAAGACTTATGCCTAATTTTTATCAGTATAATTAAATATTAAAAAACGTTATATTAATTAAACTAAAATTTTCATAAAAATCTTTTAAAAAAAGAGCGTTATAATAAAATAACCCATATATTTTAACCACTTTTTTGTAAAACGACGTAAGTCACAAACGTTTAAAAATTAGTATTAAGTGCGTTTAATTTTTCATAGACAGACACAGTGTCGACTTGTAAACCCGCCCATTCGGCAAATTGCTGTATCCAGGCACTCTTTTATGTACCTCTCCTATGTCAGTTTGTTAGTGTACAAATCTACAAATCCCTCTTGTTCTGTAAAATATGGGAAAGAAGAATCAACACAAATTTGTAATCAAAATAGAAAGCTATGTCGAGGCCTCCCAAAACCTAGTAACAGCACTGGACAGACGCATCTATGTTTAAATTAAAATAATGGTTTTTTACACTTCAATAAATCGATAAGTTTGAAAATTTTTAAAAAATTTTGGAAGAATATGAGTACATAAAAATAAATGTATAATTCGTGCATTTTTATATCACCAAAAATTATGAATTGTAGAAATGTCACAAATTCAGAGACTTCAAATGAGTCACCTTAGGTTAAAATAATGTATTTTTTTTTATTAACTCAGTGTACTTCTAGTATACTTTCCTCCGGTTATCTCAGTTTTAACACAACATTTTAATGATAGTTAACAAACAATTTTGATTGTATTCTTCTGATTTAATATTTTGGACTTGCACCGTTTCTCAAATAAATAGTTTATTTATGAAGAGTCTCAATGCATGCTCATCCTAAAATTCAAATGATGACCTATTTTTTTTCAAAAAATGATACTCTCCTAAGCGTTTTCTTGTCAGAAAAACCAAATTAATCTATTTAAGCGATAACAAAAATGTCGTTAATTTTTACACGAAAGTTTTAGATAAATATTTTATTTATAATATATTAAATTACATGTTATTTTTCAAGCATTCTAAAAACTTATTACAAGTTATTAAACATTTGTGCAAATTATTGAAAAAAGTGATTACACCATACTGAATATTTCATAAAAATAATACGTAGGTTAAACTACATTTTATGAAAATTATTTTTCAAAAATTTTAAATATCTTTTAAATACTATTAAATAAATACTTAACATCGGGATAATTAAAATTAACAAATAATAATACATTTTCAATGAGAAAAAAATTTAAAGAGATAATGTCTAAGTTTGGTCATTGCATTGTTTTCAACTTATAATTAGGTGATTTAAATGTTAAAAGATTAAACTTTACGGTATTCTTCCACTTAAAAATGATAATAATTTCCAATACTGCACTACAGAAATATTTTTGGCATAGGTAAAAATTTTATTAGACTTCTCAAAAATAATATTTTATTTATTAGTGAAATATCAGTGATACATAAAATTCTCAATTCTAATCTACGAGTTAATTTTATCTCAGATAAAACATTATACAATTTTCATTATAAATATAAAAAATACTACTAGCTTGCATTTAGCATATATATATATATATATATGCTTCAAGAGCCCTTTCAAAACATTATTAAATATCAAAAGACTTCTTTAATATATCCTTAGAGATAATTATATCATAGGAAAATTTACTGAATAAATTCTAGTTAATTCTTTTCAGAGCAGCGGTATCATTTACAAGTCGCAGAATATACATTTGCATATCTATTAAAGTTATTAAAGTATAGCTTTTCTGGTCTTAACATTTAAATATAACATCCGTACTACACAATAGCCTCTACAATATCTATACGTACTAAAAAAAATTAAAATAATGCCACTTCTTCAGAGTCTTACAACCTTATTTCTTATACGAGCAGAATTTTAATTTCAGTGAGGAATTTTATTATTAATAAATTTTTTATAAGAATTTGATATTTCTTGAGCTATTATTTTCCACTTAGGGCGGGCTTAGTTTTTTTTTAATTAGGCAGCTGATATTTATACAAATTTATGTATAATTTTAGTGGTTATAATCATGTATAATGGATTGATATTATTTCAATGTATAATTTCTTCGAACTTAAAGAAATAGTTATAAAATACTTAGGAGCTATTATCAACAATAACTAAAATTATTATCAATAAACTAAATGTTTATTATTTACAAACATTAAAATATACTTAGGTATTACATACTTGTACTGTCAGTTTCAACATTTTGAGATTGTAATGTTGTTGAAACAACTGACGTTAACCACAATGCAAAAACTTCCCAAATCATTAGACGACTATAACAAAAATAATGAGAAACCAGACACAACCAACCGAACTTCAATTAGTTTTATAAATAATCATTAAACATATTTTACAACTATAAAATAGCTTAAATAATAGTGTTATTAAATATTAATTATTATACAGTATTCTCCCTCTAAAAAAAGTTTTCAAATTTTCAAATAAACAAGTATAGATTCGCCTACAAAAATTGGTGTTTTTAATACAAATATTTATGTTCTTTTCTTAACTGTCGATATATTGTAAAGAAATTACGTTATTACCTGTTTAATAAGTATGACAAAAAAAAATTAATCAAACAAAAATTTAATGAAAAATTACAATACTTATATTAGTTTTTGAACATGTATATATTTTTTAACATTGATGATTAAATACAATTTAGTAAAGTCGTGGTTCTTTTATCATTCGGCAACAGCAAATTATTGCTTTTTAGAATAAATATGACATAATATTAAATAAAATATATTGTTATTTGCAAATTTAGTTAACAGATCTTCAAAAAATTATTAAAATTATTCATAACAATAAATATTATATTGATACTTACTATTTATAAGAAAAAAGCGTTACTCATAAAGTTATTAACCAATTCACAATTATAAAAAATAATATATTAAACATATATTACAAATTAGAAATTACTCTAATGATTTATTTATGATTATTCTTTAAATTCTTGAAATATTTAATGGTCAAATTAATAAAAAATAATCAAAATTGTAGAAATATTGGCTATTATTAAACTTTCAACTTACTTTTTTTCTTCACTTATTATTAAAAAGTAGGAACTTATGCTACAAACGTGAGGTCATCTATTTGATGTATTTTGCACAACTGAATAGTTGACAATGTGTGTTCTATTTACTTAGGCAATGATCTATTAAATGTCCGGTGAGACAGATTAACCTAATTGGTAGGAGAGAAATTTAATTGAACAGCTTTGATTTATTGAAACATAAAGGACACTAAAGTATAACTGTAAATTTAATAATTTTGGTTGTCATAAAACCAGGGTGTTGTCATTTTGAATGAATTTAAATTATTTTTCTAATTAAAAATATACTTCACAAATAATTTTGAGAAAACTTTATTGCCAGCTCCCTACCCTTGCCAAATGGAAATAATAAACACATACATATTGATTTACGTATATCTTCTATTTTTCTTGTAACCAAGTGATAAGTGCGTCTCTGCTACCATATATTTCTATATGAATTTTTATTCTACTAAAGGTATCTTATATCAGAAATTATTTATTATTCCTACTAAATATGAATCTGCAAACGCTGATTATAAATATTGGTGACGTATTAGTATCGAATTCAAAAAATGTTTAAAAAATTCATTCAATTAGTAATATATTAATAAACTTAGAGTGTTTATATTAACATAATTTTTAGAGTGATTAAAAATTAAGAACAGGTTAAATGTTACAAACAATGAGAACAATAGAAACCGTTTTCTTGCTTACTGAACATTCTATATGTATTTCTAATATTATAGAATTTGCTTATTTTAAATCACTATTTATTTATAGTAAGATCTTATTGTTTTAATGTTGAATCGAAATCTCCATATCGAAGCAAAAAATGATATGTAAACTCATAACTGTAACATAAATTATCAGGTTGGGTTGGTAAACAAAAGTAAAGTGGACAAAGTAGCTAAACAAAAATAATATAGACGTAAATTTTTACATTTTACAATTTGAGGATATTATTAAGAATAAAGAGGTTATCAAAGAACCTAGTCACATTATTTGCGTCGATGCAATTTGATTAAATAAAAATGTGGCTTATTTGTAGGATAAACTTATTATTCTCAAACCCATTAAGTTGGAAAATATGTTTAAGAAATTTTAGTATTTCAAAAAAATTTTACATAAGATTATAAAATAAACATTTTCTAGAAACTTTAATATCTATTAATTGTAAGGATTTGTCAAATTTATTATGAAAATGGACAATAAATTTTATCATAAGCAATATTATTGTACTATTTAGTTTCAAATTTATAATTTCGGCAACAAATCCTATAAAATATATTGTCGTCGTAGGACCAGAAGATTGAATCCACAGAAAAAAAAAATAATTTTTTCAAACAATTTTATCCAATTATTTTTGTTTTTAAACTGTATAACTTTAGAGATACTTTAATTAAAATTATAGCAAAGTTATAACTTCGAGCAAAAAAAATAATAATAATAATAAAAACATTAAAAAAACTTTTACTTCACAATAATAAAAAATTTACCTCATCTACCTTAAAAAAATATCATAAAATTTCGCTAGCAATGTCAAACAAAAATGCCTTATTATTTTTTAATTTTATTTTCCTACGCATAATAATTGAAACGTTTGTTACCATAAGATTTTTTCGCATTTATTTTTAACGTGTATTTCACTTACCTAAAATTTTCATGGCTCACCTCATTCATATTAAACGACATCAACATTTGATAGTAATTTACAAAGCGTTTTCATGTTGTTGGCTAGTTGAAAGAATTTGTAACATATAATTGATAATAATTATCAATACTAATAGTTTTATTATTACTTTATACAATTAACTAAAATAAAAATATACATAAATTTACTCTTACTTGAACAAAAAGTACAGAAAATCTCGTTCATTTTGTGTTTTTTATTTTACAAACAGAAGTGTTAACAGTTTATAGAATAAATAACGGTAATACCATATAAAATTGGCCTAGACCTCAATGTAAAATCTATCTATATGACTATTTCTGATTTTTTCGAAATCAGAAATCGATGCTAATTTATTACGGGTTTAATTCTTTGGATTTTTTTGTCTTTATTAGTGATTTTTTACACCAATTATTGTGTTATGTATGCATTTCATCAGGTTATAAATAATACAGCTATTCTATTTAAATGTAACTGTAAAGTAACGTTTTTAATTGATTTGGAAAAAATAATCATGTAGTAAAATATGATTAATAAATTACAATAAAATATATTCTATTTGGAATTATAGTATACGTTTTGTGTCTATAATCAGATCTGGATTAAGACTTGTTGAGGACCAACCAATGGTTGAAATTGAAAGGAAGGCTTTACTACACTTTAATTTTTTTGAGAACTAGACATAAACACGTTCAAATTTCGAAGTTCTTATTTTGTATGAATGTGAACGATTTTAGTTCGTGAAGTTTAATTATAATAAAAATAAACTGAGTTTTAAATAAAAATAAATGTTTAGAATTTAAAATCAATTATTTTGTGGACAGTTTTTAATGCGGTAAAATCATACTAAGATTGTGATTACTTCAACAGATATAAAGTAAATTGTATAATATTTTATTAAATGTTTTTTAATACATGGTTTTTTTAATTTTGTTATCAATTTGATAAATGAAGTTCAATATGGTGTTTTTCTACTTGAATTATTAATTTTTTTAGAAAAAATTTTACATGACTGAATAAAATGTATTCAATAAATCATTAATAGTTTTTATTATAACAATAATTTAAGCTATGTTACAATTGAACCTTAACGAATATGGATAGTTTGATCAATGTCATATCCTTCTTATAGAAGAGAGGGGAGAAAATTATGTTTCATCCATTTTTATAATAAAAAGTTATATACGTTCTTAAAAAAACAAATAATGCATACAACACCCCAGGAGGAGAGAGCGAATGCTGCGATCGCTTTTTCTCTCACGGGTATATTTAATTTAAGGTGTCATTAAAAAATTAATTTAGTAGGAAAAAAAATATTATTTAACAATAATATTTTAATCTTTTACCATTCACTTTTTTCTATTCTACGTAACAGAATTTTCGACTGTAGTTTTCTTATTTTTATATTATATATTTAAAACCAAATATTGGCAATTCCAGATTAAAGAACCAATGAAAATAATCTAAGGGCTCACAGGACTAAAACTCATTTAATGATGTCTTTTTATTTTTTACTCGTTATTTCATAATTTAGATAGAGACAAGTAAAAAAATTTTTATAGTGGAGCTCCTTAAATATACGACTTAGAGTCTCATTAAGTTTTAACTTAACCTTGAGCAGAGAGTATTTTGCATTTCTTAAATTTACGATACTGAACTTATGATACTTATCGATTAAAATCTTGATAAATATTGTAGTGCGGAAATAAAAAAACAGAATAATCAAATCTATCAAATAGTTCCGCGGTGACTAACTATAAAATAGTTATTTATTATGCAATCTACTTAAATTTCCTTGTAATAATAAATTTAAGTATAATATTAATTATTATTTTTATCATTTTTACACCTTCCAACAATCATTTTAAAATATCATCAATGGTTTGTCACACTTGGTTGACCAAACTATTAAGTAAGTTGCCGCCTATTCAAAATATGTAGCCTATTTTATTAGTTTGATTTATTTAGAATAAATTCAGTATTATACTATAATATACAAGTATATTTTACAAATATTATCTATACATTTTATTTTTAAGAAACTACATCTTATTTCATCATTAAGTATTATTTTTTTTACAAAAATATACTGAATAAAATTTAATTTGTATAATCAATATCTAGTTTTTATATAACATGTTTTTTAGGATAATAAAAGTATAGGATAAANATATTTTTAATATTTTTTAGTTTTTTTAAATTAATAATATTTTTAATATAGTTTTAATTTTACTTAATTAACTAGCCACAAGTGATCAATTTTTATTATATAAATATATATTGTTTATTAAAATAAAAATAAAAATTATAAATGTTGAGGACAAGAAAAACAATTTTATAATTAAATATATGTGGGTATTGTCAAATAATCCCGTATAAATTTTATTTTAGTTAAGCATTAATACAATTTTTTATCTATTGATTGATATTATTTAAAGAGATTTTCAAAAATTACAGAAAAAAAAATTATACGATAATGATAAATTTTTGTTTTTGTTTGGGGGCTAGCCTAACTTTTTTTATTTATATCCCTACATTAAAAATAAAACCCTGTTTAAAGTCTATATTTATTTAAAAGAAAATTACATTTGTACGAATAAAAAATGAATAAATATTGAATGTTTATGCATTCAAACATTTTTTTTAATGAATATGTCATTAAACGTTAAATTATTAAAGGGGTTGACATAGTTAGATGCTAAAACAAGCGTTTAAATTTAATAAGCAAACTTTATATGATTTATTAACCACATTTATATCTGTTTTTTGACGTGTATTAATAGTTCAATAAAAAAATTGCAAATTATTCATTAAATAGGTATTTGTTTTCCATGAATAGATCTTTAGACTTTTTTTTAATGGCAAGCCATATGTATTTAAGTAAAATATTGTACATGGTTTCATTTATTTAGTTTTACAGTGTTTTTATAGAAGAAATTAACAAAAAATATTATGTATACTAAACTTAAGTAACTTTCTAAAATTTTCTGGTGTGTAGAAATAATTTAAAACTTTAATGGCACTGTTAAGTACCATCGCGCCAAAATGTCCAAAAAATCTTAGTAACGTAACTTTTCTTAATGGCTAATGAATAATGTAAACGAAACCCTCAGTTTTTATTACACTTTATAATAAAAGTTTCTATTATAGTAACGCGATTATATGGCCACTCAAATTTCAGATATGGAAAAGTACCGAGAGCTCATTAAAGTACGGAAGGTAATTTGTATACCAATTTGTGTTTTTCCAAAATACGTTAACTTTATAAACCAAATTATATTCATCGAAATAAAATTAATTAACCAATTGTTGATATAGTGGTCATTACACATCAGTTCACAATAGCAACAAGATATAACGCGGTCATCGAATGATTTCTGGTTTTTGTATATTACTCAAAAAAATCGTGATACCGTGGTTCGGGGTGGGGGCAATATACCATGACCTCGCTGCGCCGCCGCCCGCGTAAACCTTGCAGCTGCTGCATCGTGGTCCCCGATTTTACACACGCACACTCGTACCGTACACAAACAAACGGCGTTCTCCTTTTTCTTTCTTTCCCTCTCTGACCATCTCTCTTGCTCTCTCTCAGTATATGCCACTTTTTTATTTTACTTTTAATGGCGTCCGCTATCATTTGACCCGATCCCGTTTGTTTGCATGCTAAGCGCGTTCGTTGTTCTCGTCATCATTGACGCTGTCCCCGATCAGCGACCAAATTTTCAAATTTTTTAAGCCGGTAAGCGACTTACTGTACCGTACTTATATTATCTATTCTGCACCTGAGAATTTATCATCATGTCTACCAAACGTCAGTCAAAAGGCAAATCCAATGGTGTTTCTCGCAAAAAATCAAAATTAATTGAAGAAGATCCACCTGAATTAAGTGAGGAAGAACATGAAGATGACAAAAAATCATCTGATGAAGATGGCGATGATTTAACTACCGAAGAAAATGAATCTATTGTAAGTATAATTTTTTTTGTTCTACTATGTGAAACATGTTTTAAACACATTGATACTAACTTTCGCTTAGATTAATGATATGAAAACTATTCTATGGGAATACAATGAATATTCTTGTATAATGTACTACTAGTAATATAATTTTTTTTTACTTATATAGTGTTTGTAATTATTGTTTCAATGTTCACATTGAAAATTGTAATGATTTTTGGAATTAATTAGAATTTTAAAAGTATATTATAGTTAACATTTTAAAATACTGAACTTAACAGATGCATATTTTTGAAACTACTAAACGTATAAGTTTATAGGTAATATAGTTGAATTTATTCAAATTATTCTTTGCAAATTACTTTTAAATTTTATAAAAAGATCAAATTAATAAATAAAATATACATTTATCTATGATTTTGGGATGTTGTATAAATTTGGTAATTTTAGATATATCTAAGATTTCATGTTACAATATTTTATTTTGACTTGTTTGTCAATTCAATTCATAGTATTACCATATAATATAGGTAATAATAATATTATTTTTAAAATTCAATATTAGGGTCAAAGTGCAATAGTGATATATACCACAAAATGTTAAAATTATGTAATACAGCTTCAACTTGTTTTAAAAAATAAAAATATATAGCAATATTAATAGAAAAAAGTAGTTGAAGAATTTTTAATTATATATTAATACATCTAATCGATAACAATCCAACAGTTATTTAAAACTTCGAATGAAGACTTGTTGAACTAACATGGAACTTAAAATGTAATAATGCAAAACACAAATATTGCTATAATTCAATATAAAATTTAGTAGAATGTATTGCTAGTATACATTTAAATATTTTTTAATTAGAAAATGAATGGATTTATTAAAGTATTTGTAAGAATTTATTAAAAAAAATTTTGAAATAATTTTTATCAACTTAAATTATTATTTATTTTGATTTATTGTTCTTATTTGGATAGGCTACTATTGATCTCAGTCTTTTCACTTACAAATTGAAGTTATTTTTTTGATTCACAATTAAACAATTTTTCATTATTGTATTATTACTTGTAATATCACCCATTAGATTCTTAAGATAGTTCAATGTACAATATTATTTGATAAAATTTATAACTGAGCTATCACTTTATAGAATTAAATTTTTTATACATTTTATTTATTCTTATAGAGAGTTAAAGGACCAGATCATATAGGAATAATTCTAATAACTGGTGGTACTAATTGGGATTTAAATGGTCGTAAAACTGTACCAAAAGGATGCAAATCAATTGGACGTAATTTATATGAACCTCATGTGTTTGTTCCTCTTCAAAATACTCGTATCCGCCATGTGGTGAGTGGTTGTAACTCGGCGCATACTATTTTCATTACAGAAGAAGGAAAAGCATTGTCATTAGGTTAGTATTTATTATATATTAGGATACTTTTTGACTTGTAACATTTTTATAAAAACTTTTTATGTATCAATCAAAATTATCTATATAAATATAACAATATATGTCATCAATTATATTTATTTAAGGTCGTAATGAGAAAGGTCAACTTGGTGTAAAAGATTTACTGAGACGAGATCTACCTACCCCTATTGAAGGGTTACCTGATCATGCTATTGTCAATGCAGCTACTGGCCGTAGTCACACACTTCTTCTTACTGGTAAACTTTATTCATATAAATCATGATCTATTTTTCTACAATTTAAAACTATTATATTTAATATAATGTTAAATAAAAAGATAATTCATTTTATGATAAATGTTTATTATAAATTATCAGTTCTATAATAAATAAAAGATGGAACATTCTAACTTACAATTCTTATTAATTAAGATACAATAACCATTTTATTATAATTCTTCTTTAACAATTTATTTTTTTTTATTTCTTAAAAACTTTTTTAATTATTAAGATTTGTTAAAAAACATGTTTTATAAAAAAAAACTTATTAAAGATAGGTAAACAGTTTAAAATATCCCTTAAATCCAATATAAATTTTGAAATTTTTAGTGTTTTTAATATATTTTAAACCCTTAACAATCCTGATTAGATTGTAATCTAATAAGAAATAACAAAGCCCTTAAAATATCCTCTTGATGGGCTCATGGAATAATTATATGAATCAATTACCAAATAGCAAATAATATTAAATAAATTTAATTATTTTATTTCAAAATATTTGTACCCAATAATTTAAAAACTTAGAATTTTATCATTATGTATTCTAAAAACAATTGAATTTTATATATCTAGCATTCTATCTTTTAGAAATAACTTAGATATAATTAAAAATTGGCATTTAAGTGATTTTAATACTTGTAATGTATTGTTATATATTCAAAAATAATTGGTAACAGATCGTGGTGCAGTTTATAGTTGTGGTGATAACAAATATGGTCAGTGTGGCGTGAAGTCCAAAGAACCCATGATCACTACTGCATTAAAGGTCAGTGACATTAATTTTATAAAAAAATTCACTTATGTTGTATTTTTTTATTTTTTTTTTTCAGTTAAAAAGATTTTTTTCATATAATTTTAATCACAACATTTTATTTAAATATTTTTTTAGTATTTAACAAAACAAACATTAATTATTATGAATATTAATTTTACCAATTAAATGAAATTTTATATTAAAAAATAAGTTAATTTAGAATTCAATAGTACATTTTTAATTTTGGAAAATGTATTAAAACGATAAAAATATTTTTTATGCTTAATGCATATATAGAGCGATCAGCAAATTATATCTCAGGCAATATCTTCAAAAGTAAAATATAATATATATATTTTTTTTTAGAACTTGTGAATATTTTACAGGTAAAAATATATCCCCCTTTTATTTATTCAATTATATCGTTAGTTTGTTCAATAGAAACATGACTTGAAAGTAAAACATGAAATGTAACTTAATTACAAATAAAAAAAATAATAGCTTGATAACAACTTTTGAACCATTGTTTTAAAAGTTTAAGATTTTTATATTGTAGCAGATGTACTGTATATCATAAATGCATAAAGATAAAAATATTTTATTTTATTAAAGTATTAATTACTTCCATAATACTGGTTTAAAAGTTGTTAGTGGCTAGTAATTTTCTTATTTAATAGCCATCTAAATGTATGTTTACATTTAAAAAACTAGGGCTGATAAAATTTAAAGAGCGAAAAACTGGGATATGACTATTTTAGCTTCGATGCGAAGCTGAGAAGGTATTGGTTTTCCTATGATGTGTTTTTTGTCTGTTATCACTTTTTCTCAGCTCTCACCAAACGGATTTCTTTCAACAATACGTCAAAAGATCACAAATCGTATCTAGTCGAAGACATTACCCTTAAAAATTGAAAAAAATTCCCTCGTTCTCCGTAAATGGGGGAAACCTCCAAAAAAATTACAAATTTAAAAATCGCTAATTTTCGAAATAACTTTTTCAAAAATGAACATATCAATATAATTTTTTTTTTATATATAGATTCTTGATGTTATTACCTATCATTTGGTTAACTGTGCTGTTATATTGAAGTTTTCAATCTAAATTCAATCTATCAGGATAAATTATTTTTGTAGCGTACTTATCTGTTAGGCACTGTTATTAATTTAGCTTTGATCTTTTTTTATGTTAATTTAAGCGTGTAAGAGACTAATAAAATAATTATATTTTGTCATGTACTTTTGAAAATATTGCGTAAGACATAGTAATTGGATTACCGTGTGCAGTGTTTTAATATAATGTTGCACAAGAGAAAATAATTAAAATAACTAAATTCTACAATAACGATAATTAAGTTATCTAATATAATGTATTAAATTTATTCAAAAGATTTATTGGATATTATAATTGTTATTTACTGAGTAACTTAAATTTTTTTTAAGGTGATTGATTTTATAGTTAAATAAAAAATTTTTTTAAAAATTATTTAATACTATAAAAAAAATTAATATATTCTTTTTTCATTTCTATTTATTCAAAAAAAAAATTTTGGAAATTTAATCACTTTATTAGTTTTACCTTTATATAACTATAAAATTAACATTAAGTTACATTTTCCCTCCATCATTCAAACTTTTTTGAAAAAAGGTAATCTGTCACTTTTATTTATTTATTTTTAAACAATAACATTTGATCAAGTTACATGAACTTCTTTTAGATGCTCATCTGTTTAGAAAATTAAAAAAAATTATTTACTTAAAAATTTTAATTTTAAATTGTGAATTTTAGGTTAAATACAATGGTCCACCAATTGTCAAGGTTGGATGCGGTGCAGATTTCAGTATTTTACTTGATTGTAAAGGAACACTGTATTCATTTGGTTTACCTGAGTATGGACAACTTGGGCATAATACAACTGGTGAATACATTGAACGCGCAGGTGCAATTCAGTATGCTACTGTTAATCAACCTAAAGCTATTTTAACTTTTGTGGAAAAAAACAAAAATAAAGTAGAAATTTTGCCTAAGCCAGAAATAAGAGATTTTTCTTGTGGTACAAACCATACGGTAAATATTAAATTTAAATTATTTAATACTATCAAATAAATATTATCTGTAATTATCTGAGTGTCTCAGACCTAATTGGCAATGCTTGTTTCAACAATTATCATTTTGTTAAAAAAAATTTTTTTTTTTTTAATTTTAAAGTAGTTAATTTTTAATCTTTTTTACAAAAATATTAGGACAAGTACTCATCAATTTACAAACATTTTAATATAAAGAGCGAGTGTGGAACGTGGGTGTAGTATACAATAAAGATATATATCAGTACAAGTTCTACTGACCCATGCTGCATACACACTATATATTAAAATGCTTGTAACTCAATGTATACATATCCTAAAACTATTATCAAATATCAGTGAAATACCAATCAAAATATTTTGTAAGAACAAAAAAATAGCTATTTTAAAATTTAAAAAAATTATTTATTAAATTATATACTTTTATAATTATTATTATAGTATTTTAATTATTTATATATATAATTTTATTATTAATGATAAATAATATACAAATAGTTTAATAAGACAACAGTTATTTTTTTTAAAATTTCAATAAAATGATAACTGTATTATAAGTTACAAGCATTAGGTCTGAAACAAATTGTATTTCTTAATTTATGTGTTCTTTACAATTTTGATTTCTGTAAAAATTTAAGTAAACAATAACTTCTTTCTTTTTATTATGAATTATGAGTTTTTCACAATATTGTAACCTGAAATGTTAGTTTTTACATGATTTTTTCTTTTGATATTAGGTAGCCATTGATGATCGTAAAAAAGCCTACTCGTGGGGTTTTGGCGGTTATGGTCGATTGGGACATTCTGAACCTAAAGATGAAATGCAACCAAGACTTATTAAGTATTTTGATGTTCAAAGAAGTGGTATTAAATATGTTGCATGTGGTCCTGCTTTTAGCCTTGCAATTAATGAATTTGGTATGTAAATTTAATGTTGATGAGAAATTTATTTAATTATAACTACTATCTACATTGTATATTTCAATAGTTTCATATTATCTTAAATTTTAGGTGCTGTGTATTTGTTTGGTCAGATGAGTAGTAGAGGTGAAGCTAATATGTATCCTAAACCTGTACAAGACCTTCATGGTTGGAATGTACGCAGCATTGGTACATGTGGTATAGGTATGGTTGCAGCAGCTGATGATTCATGTATATCCTGGGGCTCTGGAAATAGCTCTGGTGAACTGGTAAATATAATTTTTTTTCAATAATGTTATCTTGAAAAAATTATTATTTCCAATTAGAAATGTAATTCAAATAATTAGTAAGAAAACCATGTCAACACAGTAAGATTCTAAGATTTAGAGGCTGATCAAAATTTTTAGAATTATTATAATAAATGAAAACTATGAACTAATAACTTTTTATGACTAAAATGAAATACATTTTAATAATTTTATTTTCAAAAATTGCTGCTTAACAATTTTTATAAAAATAATTTTTTAATGTAAAAATTTTATTTGGTTTAACTTGATTAGTTAATTTTATTTAATCTGTTCTTAAAAACATTTAAATGAATTCTATCTTGTAATTTTAGGGTCTAGGAGATTTAAAGAAATCTAGTGCAAAACCATGTGAAATGAAGAAACTTGATGGTGTTTATGTAGAGCATGTAACTTGTGGATCCTCACATACATTTTTACTGGCTCGTGACCAGTCAGAAGATGACAAGGACTCGATCGCTTCATTGCCAGAATATAAACCTATTGTGTCCTAACTTTACTGAAAAGGTAATAATAAAAAGGACAATGTTGTTTCTAATTTGTATTTAAAACCAAATGGTATTTGATATTTTTTTTTTTTTTTATATATATATACTATGTTTAATTTTTTCTACAATATTTGTTCCATTAGACTTAAGCTTTAATTTAAAGTAAGCAGAACATTGTCAATCAGAACTAAGTTCCTGCTCAATACAATTTTTACTGATCTGTTCTAATTTTTTTTTTTTTTTCATATTATCATTTATTAAAATGACAAGTATCCGTATTTATACTTATTAAATGATAAATTATTATTATAATAATTTTGTTTTAGTACTAAAAAATACCTTTTAATCCTACCTAAAACTATCCTTCACAGTTTCTGATTGACACAATTCCTGTACCTTTAATAATCTTCATCCTTGTATTAATAATGGAAAATTGTACAAAATGATTCTTATGGTGTTACATTGAATGTAAGCAATCCTCAAAGAAAAAAAAGATAATGATTTTATATTACTAAAAATTAAATTATAAATCTTAATTATTATTATCGATAAAATATCATTATCTAATTTTATTTGTTTAAAGTTAGTTGTACTCTACATAATACAATAAATATAACTTCAGGGATTCTTTATAATTGTTAGCATTTTGTGTAAAATGTTCTTATTTAAAAGGCCATTATTCTTGGTTAATCTTTTTTAATAAAAAAAAATCAATTAATTTTGTGTAAAATAGACTAAATTATTTAGTTGAAATTACTTATAACAGTGAAAAATTAACTTGCTCAACAATAATTTTTGTTAGCTTAAAAAATTAAAGGGAATTATAATTAATTATTCTATTTATATTTTTTTAGATTCTTATTAATGTAATTTTATTGTCATAACTCAAAATTAAAAAGTTTAAGCAATATCCTTTCAAACATCATATGATTATTTAGTGGATTATAAGTTTACTTTTTATGAAAAATATCTTAAAAACACATTTACAATAAATATCCATATATTTTATTGGTCAATACAAAATTATATAATAAATTAACAAAAACAAAAATGTTAAAAAACAATATAATTTAATTGTAAATTTCCTTTAAAAAATATCAATGCTTTTTTGTTAAACACATACAATTTAATGGAAATAAGAACCCGAGAAGTTTTTAATAAACAATATAAACAGACTATTAATACATAATTACAAAATGTAAAAATATTTACAAATAACATAGGAACAAAATACCCTAGTTTTATTTTGTTAAAATTTACTTTAGTCAAAAAAAAATATTGATTTTAATCCAAACTACAGTAAAAGTAATGTCAGGAACATTTAGTATTTTTAACATGATACATTTATTATTGTTTAGTTTGAAAAAAAATCATGATATTTACCTAATGGTATTATTGATAAATATATTATTGCACAAGAAATCATAAATAAGGAGGGAGAGTTGGCCAGTTATTATGTTGATAGGACTGTGGAGAAGCACCAGCATTTAACCAGTCATTGCTATCAGCCATTGTATACCATCCACTAACTCCCCCTTTGGCCATTTTTGGCCACTCGGGTCGGCTTCCACCAGGCCCAACCCATTCCTAGCTGAGACGTTGACGTTTATTTTGTGGACCAACCTGTTGTTGGAATTGTTGTTCATCTTGTTTAACTAATCGACACAGTTGAAGAAGTATTTGGCTTATATCTGATAACATGGCTAATGGAACTTCATCACCATAAGAAATATTTTTTAAACGACCATTTTCACGCAATACAGCTATTTGTTCACTAGAAAAATTTAAATTAAAACTAAATCAATATATAAAAAAAATTTAACTTACGTGTTTCCACTGTATAATGCTGTTTTAAGGAATTTGTAGAGCAAAGTTGAACACCTTTGAACAGAACAAGTAGGAAATAATGCTTGTACTAAATCTTGAATGGTTACCATAAGATCAGAGTACATATATGGCTTCGCATTAATACAATAGATTGTTTTGCCCTGTAAGGTAGCCCTTTGAATCTAAAAAAGAAATTAGATTAAAAATACAAAATGTTCATTTATTATTTATCAAAACAATAGGTATTTGGTATAGATTGATTAATTAGATATACCTTATAAGCAGCATTGCTAGAAGTATCAGTACCCCAAGACCGCTCAGGAATTTTTTTCAATTCCCATCCACGATTTGGATCTTGTGTAGGATGGGGTGGTGGTACTGGACTTGATGGTGGTGATGAAAGATCAATTATTTCTGAAGCTTGTGGCACTGAAGTATTTGGAGCAATATTTCTTAAAGTATTACGTTGCTGAGTATTTGATAATCGAGAATTCGGAACACCGACTGGTATGGGTTGACCATAAGATTGAGGATTTATTATTTGACCTTGTCCTCGTTGACTATTATAAAATTGACGTAATTGGTTATTAGTCGACATAACATTGTTGTTAACAATAGGATTATACATTGTTGTCATTTGTTGGTTCATTGGTGTGCTGGCATAAGATACAGAATTTCTGTAATTTATAAAAAAAATTTAGCTGTAGTCAAAAATATTTAAATTTTAACATATTCTTACCCAACTACTGGAGTAGTTGTATTAGAAACTCTAACTAATGGCGGTGGCTGAGTATTCATTGAACTATTATTTTGAATCAATGAATTATTCTATAAATCAAATAATAAGATAAGTTTAATAAAACACGATTAAATATAATTTCAAACCTACACTTATTAAATATTTTGTTAGTTATATTTTATCGTATGAATATTTTATTTTTTGAAATAAAATTTATTTCATTATATTTAGGTCTGTTATAAATTATACCAAAAAACTAGTTAGTATTTTTTTTTTTTAATTGTTCGAAAAATGATTAAGTATTAAATGTAATTGCCTTATTTATTGTTTTTATTAAATTTAATCCTAAATGCATTAACTTTATCATTTATCAATACAATATTTATACTTAAAATACTTCTTTATTATTATTTTTTTTTTTTTAGAAAATAAAGAAGACATGTACCACATTATAATAATGAACAGCTGCATTTTGATTTCTGGATACACCAGAATAGCCTCGTGTTGGCTGGTTTTGTGCACTATAAGAGTTTACCTACAAAAATATTATTTACTTATTGAAAATGAAGTAGAATGTACAATAATTAAAAAAAAAAATTGTTTGAAATAGTTCAAAAAACATGCTCAAAGAAAATCTAAAAAAAAAAATTGAACCAAAAATCTTAACCCAGAACCATCTGATTAGAATGACCAATAACCAATTTAATATTTAAAACCTAGACAGCAAACAAGTGAATAATGATTTACTTATCTAAAAAAAAAAAAAGCAACACATTTTTTGTTTTAGCATTTTTAAATAGATTTTATTTTATTTTATTGTAATAAATCGATAATATTACTATTATATTTTGATACGTATTAATTTATTTTTATGGCATGACTTAAATACTTTTAAAAAGCTAATACAAATTGAATTATAAAAGCAAACAAAGCAATCAAAGAAAAGTAAATACAAAATAATAATATTAATACTCACCAATTGATTATTAGCCCAACCATTTTGATAATTCCCATTTGCTATTGAAATATTTTGTTGAGTTACATTAGATGAAGTTATTGTATGTGCAAGTATATTATCTGGAGGAGTCACTTTATTGAGAGCTGGAGGAGGAGCTCTAACCCAAGCAGCTGGTGGATTAACATTTGTGGCTTTCTGATTGTTTAATAACTGAGTATCAACTACTTTGGCTGGCCAATACTCCTCAAAATTTGTATCTGGTGGAAAGTAATTTTTTATATCTTCTAAGCTAGTAACTATGCATGAATCACTTGCAAACAATTCATTTCTAATGCCTTGAACTTTGCAACAAAATTTTAAGTATGCTAAATTCCAATTTTCAAGTTTTTCTGCTCTTAATCTTAAATTATCAGTTTCGCCCTCAAAGTAGAAAAGTGGAACATACTTTTGATCATTTTTTATACAATATGGAACCACTGATTCATTATTAATTCGTATAAAACCACATTTTTCTCGACGCCCAGGTGTAATATTGCATAACAATTTTTTATAACAAACTTCTATGAATGCATAGAACTCTTCTACATCTTCTAAACGAACTATATAGTCTTTACCAGCATAAAAAGGATCTTTCCCATATGACTGATCACAATGTCTCTGGTTAATATCATTAAGCAACTTAGCTTCACACTCTGTTATAAAATGGCTCTTCACTGAAGTACAAGTATATATATCTGCATGCAAATAATTTAGATATTTGCTTAAAAGTTGACTTTCAGCAATTCTCACAGATACAAATTTCAACTGTTCATTATCAATGACTCGTATAATGTATGGGACATTGCATGAACCAATTGTTTTCCAACCAAACCTACCTATATAACAATAATATACAAATAACATAAAAATGTAAGGCTCGCAATATTGGAAATCTATTATCTGTACCTTTAATGCTTTGATCATCTTCACTACAAGAATCCTTTATACTTTCTTTAACAGTGGCTACTGGTATGTTTGTAATAGGAACTGGTCTACCAGCCCTATTTATGTATACATTATTAGGTGTTGCAGCAGGTCTCAAAGAAGCTGCTGCAGCAGTCTTTTGCATATTTTCTTTGATTTTAAGAGCCATAGCATTAATTTCAGGATCATCTCGTTCATTTTTAATACAAATTCCTATAATTAACAATTTTATATTTAACAGACATGTAGCTACATAAGGTATTAAATTTATACTGGTTCATTCAGGTATTGCTTAAATACAGCATAATTTAATTAGACAATGTTTTAAGATTTGTTGTATATTATAGTACAATGTGCAGTATAGTTATGTAAAGTTGTAATTAATTGTGGTTTTTAAATATTGTATGACAGCATGATGAAAAATTTTATAAGAGAATAAATTAAAAAAATCTAAATATACACTACCCTTTAAGAGTAATGTAGTAATAAAGAAATCCATATTTTTCATTGAGCAAATTGTGTAAAAATTAATCTAGCTACATGGCTAATTTTAAACAAACTATCAAATTACACATTCAATTTTTATAGTTATTATGAATATAATATAGCTTATAGTTACTATATACATACGATATTAATTCATATTAGGCCTTAAAAATGTCAATTTTGAAAAATATTCAAACCTGAATATTTTGAAAAACTATTTTCATAATTACCAAAATTTTCCATGAGAAATTAAATAACAACTAAACAGAATCCGAAATTTTAATGAAGAATAATGTATTACGAACTTTCTTATGAAGAAAAACTCAAAATATAGTAGTAGTATGACTTCTCTTTCCTAAGTATAAAAATTAGTTTGTAACTTTTTTATTCATTTTTTAACAAATATAAATATTAGTAAAATACAAAATGTTTTTACTAATTTTCCCTCCAAAAGATTTCACAATAGTCCTTACACAGACAAAAAATTTATCATCACAAATATTTTCGTACATTTTTATAAATTTCAAATATTTATGTAAATTAAAAATTTTAATTTAAAAATGAACTATTCGTGTATAAAATAGACATAATATCTTTTCCTTAATTTTTTATCTAACAGAGAAACGAGATAAATTTTACTTTGTGTAAAAAAAATAAGAGATTAATAAAATGAATAAATCCTAGATATAAATTTTGGTTAAATGAAAGTAGTACAACAAGCACAAAAATAACGTAATAAGTGTATCCCATAAATATAAAATACTAAAATTACTTATTTGCGGTAAAAGAACACCATGTATTTTATTTTATTTTTGTTTAAATTTAATTAAAAAAAAACTATTTTGTTATAAAAGTAATTTTTCAAGAAAATACATTTAAAAAAAATGTTAATAATGATCGCCTATTTTAAACACAATGTATCTAAATTATTTATTAAATTCATACTATAATTTCTATTTAATAATTATTTAAATTTCATTGTTAATAATAGCTACAAATATTAATATTATTAATTAATAAAATTCGATTATAACATTTATTCATTTATCCTTAATTTTTTTTTAATTAAAATATATAATTTATATTTTACTTGTATTATACCTAATAACAAATTATTTGGAATAATTTATTAATCATTATTATATATTAATCATTTTTTTTAAACTTAATTTATAAATTATAATATATTTTTAGATTTAAATATATATTTAATAGTATTTGGCGTTAGAAACATCCTTACTAAAACCAAAATTTGTTTTCAACGATTAAGTCAATGATAAAAAAAAATGAATTCTTATCTTTTATAATCTGAAACCTCTTTATTTAAAATTTATGCTTAGTTATCTATTCTGTTCGTTACTTTTTATAATAAAGGAGACGAAGGTGGATAAATCTAAACAGCTTAACTCAATAATTTATACCCCTGATACCTGTGCATAGTATCATTGCGTTTGCTGAACTGTATGGGCCGCATATTATTTAATTTCGGTGAATAAAAAATAACAGTATATTGTTAAATCAAATTAATATTAGATAATTATATTTATTTTTTTTAAAAATTAAAAAATCTTCGGAACACATGTTTTAAGAGTTTAGCTTAAAGTTTTAAAAATAATACATCTAACTAATAAAAATAAGCCATAAATAATTAAGATAAAAAAACGAAATTAGTTAAGTATTATTTAATTACATATTGTATGTTATTTAAAACCTAATAGTCTGTAAAGTAATTAATTAATTAATGTAGATATTTTTCTTAATGTATAACACATCAAAATAGTAATTATAATTAACCTGAAAAAATCATGAAATATTGTTTTAACCTACAGACTAAGCAATGTAAAATATCAAATTAATGAGAAAGCAATAATTGATATAGTTTGCTAGCCAAAAAAATTTGTTTCTTAAAGGAAATTTATTAGATGTCGTTAGTAACATACATTTTTATCCTGATAATTTTTTTTTATTAAATCAAAAAAACATAATTAAATAAAATGTATATAATTATTTATTCCGTTGTAAAATTTCCCACAAGAATTACCAAATGGTAATATTTTGAACAATTTTTGAAAAGTGCGTATATACTGTTCTCTTTTTATTAGTAGTTAGTTTATTAGTATTATATTTATTGATAATTTTTTAATTAAAAATATTATATTGATTCCTATAATAGAAAAAAATTAATAATCAAAAGGTGTAAAATTTCAGTGCAATGGTGAACACAACTAGGATTGGTTAATCCAGCACCTGGAGGTAGGCAATAGACTTCATTTCTAGCTTCTAAATAGTCTTTATCTAATCCCATGTAATTGTCAATAAAAAGATTGATTACGTCAAAAAAAAGTAACCATTGAACAACAAAACATTTATTCTATTAGTGACAACTAAAATTATCAAACTAACTAGACTATCGTTGTCTGGATTCTAATCTATATATATATTCCGTGAAATGAATTCTTATTTAAATAAAAGTTCGCCAAATTATTTAGGACATGCGATTTCAAATACCAAAATTATAAGTATGCATAGCAGCATACTAGAATTAATAGTTTTATCTTCTAATAATTGATTAATAAGATATTAATAACATTTAATCAGTATAATTTTACAACATTTTATTGAGGTTATTCAATAACTATATTCAAAAAACTCGAATAATATAAAAGTATCTTTTTCAATCGTTTCTTGTAGTACTAAAATTTTACACGTTTAAATACTTTGAGTGTCTCAATAAAATAACATGACCACTAATATTCATAATGTTTTGTATTAATTTTATATTTAATAGAAATTAATTTAAGAGGAGGTATCCCTTTAGTTACAGATTTAAATATACAATAGTATTGAGCAACATAACGTAATTACTAGATTCAGGTTATGGAGGTGGTCAAAGGGAACTATAGCACCAACTCTTGATCTTAATATGACAAAATTCCATTAAAAATTAAAAAAGTGTTGAGTGGTAAATTAATAAGAGAACACTTAGGACTAGAATCAATAATTTGAATAATTGTCTCCAATAAACTAATATAGTGGTTATTGCAAAAATCCTACTTTAAATTTAAATCAATAAAAAAAGTAATCTACAATGTATAAATTCTAATACTTTAATAAAAATTTTATTTTCTCAAAATTATTTACAAATAACGTCATTTCAGGTGTAAGATACAGGTACACTATATTTAACTACATTTATGAGCAATAATAATATTCTATTTTTGAATGACATCACTAAACAAATTATTACGAATAACTGATACCAATTTTAATAATTTATTTTTCGAAATATCATCCTATTACAGTAATATAATAAATAGTATTTTCAAAAAACATTTGTATGAGTCAAAATTTCGAGTAAATTATCAATATGAAACCATTTTGATACATACATTATTCTCAAAAAAAAAAAAAAATTAATATTAATGAAAAATTTAGTTTGATAAATTAATTATTATTGATAATTTAAAAATTCAATTTAAAGAAAACATTAATTTGACGAAAACATTTTTATATTTCACATCAATATGCATTATGAGTAAATAATTCTTCGAGTCTTTTGCATAAAACATGTTATTAAACAAACATAATTATAAATTAAACTCAAAAAATCTACAAGTACCTTTTTAAAAATATGAATGAAAATATTAATTTTTTATTTTGTAACATATAAATAATTTTGTAAAATATAATATTTTAATAATAAAATTAAATATTTTCCGTTATTGAGGAACATGCCCTTATTACCCCAACAAAGTAACGTAATCAGGAGACAAGGGGTCAATACTCCCATTGAAAGCAGTATTCATTTCTAACATGAAGTGTTGAGTTAAAAAAAAAGTTCCAAAATATGGATTTTTGTAACTTTTTTAGTATGCCTACGTAAATAACGTATTAATGAAATTATAAAAAAATACGGATTAAAGAGGTTTGCCAAATGTTACAAGTTTTTTTTAATTAAATAGGTCATACACATAAAAATTTGAAAAAAAAAAAATTTATATCGCAACAAAAATTATGTTTACTAGTTAATCAAGTTAACAAGCACATAAAAGGTTTAATACCACATTAAGTTAATGTTGGTCGAATATAATATTAAGAATCTTATTAACCAAATAACTTAACAGTTTTCGAAAGTCAACAAATAATTCTTATCTTAATACATTTAAATTATAACTTTCTATGTCTAATTTGAAATGTAGTAATTGATTATTTTTGTATTTATATGTATATCATTACATCCTGGGTGTTTAACCCAAAAGTATCGTAACTGAAAAACAAATAAGTCATTAATAAAACAAACTATTGTTTTCCATTAAAATAAAAATTCACACAAGAGTTGTTGTGAATTATTTTCAAATATTATAAAAATTTAGACAACCTAACTTATATATTCAATTATGAAAAATCAATTATTCCAGGAATGTTTTAATACAATTAGTTAATATGAATTTATATTCATTGACATGTATAAAACGATAACGATAACAGTTATTAATCCTTATCATTAACACGAATGACAGTTTTGAAGTATTGTTGTAAATACAGTAGAAATACTGACAAGAAATAACAATCGTCACTTAGTGTAATTTATACATTAAGCCCATACGGTACTATTTTTACACTAATCAATTATTTGGTAAAATTAAAAATAAAGTAAGTAATAATATTTACCTTCATTTGCCGGTACACTGACAACGGCTGTCATGTTAATGATTTATGAAAATAAAATCTATATAACTATTATTTAAACAACCAATTTATGCTGGCTTTTTCAAAGAAAACCATGTATTTAACACTATTTTTTGTAAATTTTTTCATTAAGAAATTAAAAAAATGTTTCATTTAAAGTAACACGTGTAAATTAAAAAAAAAATTTATGTTCATCCAACAATTATCAAAAATTTCGACATTGAGAGATTGGTGATTACAGCAACGAGTTAAAACGCGCGAAGCGATAACAACTATGACAAGGATAGGTCGGACCTTCGGTGAGTGAGCGTTCAAAATTCCCAACAAAGAGGAGACCAGTACGTAGCCTCTAAACGAGGTACATAGCAGCTCTACCCCCCGTACACCGCCTGCCGTATTTCCCATGGCCATACGACAGCGGCGGAGCGAACAACCAATCGCATCGCGTCGTCTCCCATTAACATGAAAAACCCATTAAGCGACGACCCCGGAGGTACGTACCTCGATAGAGGCTATCGTAGCCTGAACGCTCATAGTTCAAGGTTTTTGTCCCTACCAATACCACATAACTGTACACAGTGCAATTCCCCCACTATCAAATCACACTCAACATATCACCCACCAACGCAAAAATGTGACAGGCGAACTGGAACACTAGCGCTCCCTTTGTTCCCTCCACAGTTCTACCCTACCCGTATCCCATCTGTTGGTTGATGTATTCTAAGAAGACTATTGTATATTTCTGTGCCTAAAAATATGTTAATAAAACATTTTCACTCTCCCCCAGACTGCATATCGGTATCATTACACTCACCATTAGTACTAGGTATTTCGTTGAATGCGTGCTCATACCCACTTTCACTAATAACAGGATGCTATGTGTTAGTTGGCATGTCTGATTTTTAACTCACCATAAAAGTACAATTTATCTGTTTATAAATTATCTATAACGTAACAACTGTTGCCACATGTTAACAAATATTTTTCGCTCAATTTTAAAATAAAAATAATGTAATATGAAATACAAATTGTATACATTATTTATAAAAATAAAAATTTTTCTACGCAAATAAATAACTAATTTTATGTTAAAATTTTTATTTGATAGATATTTATATAAGGTTTTTAAATTAAATGTTTTTGGCAAATAAATTAACTTAAAAAATAAAAAAAGAAATAGATTAGTTTTTTAACTTTTTAGCTAATTTAATTAAAATTAATTTATATATATATATATATGTATATTTAACAAAGATGTTAATAGTAATTAATGAAGAGTTTCAATCCTAAAATGTTTCACAGTTTTAATTTTTTTTATATTTAATTATAAAATAAAATGAAGTTAACTTTAAAACATAGAGTAGAGTTAAAATATTTCTTAAATTACTTATTTATTATTTAATTATCTACTAATTTATTTCATGTTGATAGATGATATTTTGCTGCATTTGTTATTTCATTGTAATTTAGTGTAGTTTAGTTGTAATTTACAGTCAATCGTGTTATATATTTACACAGTAATTTAAAATACACAAAACAAAAAAAAACGTAGTGATTAATAAAAATTTATTTTATACACATAGAATTTCATTTTCCTTATTTTTATTTTGAATATTATAATTTGGTTACCAAACAAATATTGTTGTTGCTGGTCCTGTAATGATTTTATGTATTACCAACAAGTATTGGATACCACCTAGTTGCATGATTTAGTTTGCTATATTCTTTTATTTAATTATTAAGTTATTTACTTAAGAGAAAGTTGTACAAAAATATCGTATGAAGTCTATCACAGAATTAAGATATAAAATGTATGATTTTTCAACATGAATAATGTAAGTGGTTTTGAAATAAATATACATCGATCAAATGAACTAATAAATTTTATGACTCAAGACCTTTTAGTAAAAATTAGAGTTATATTTTTCTTTAGCCAATTATTGGTGATGTCACCCATATACCCAATGATGTCTATATGAAGGCACTAATACATCATGATACCAGATGAGCCCACTATTTCATAAAATTCAATTTTTTAAGTAATTTTAGCCAATAGAAACAATTTTTTGCATTTGTATATACAATAGACATATCCCTAATAACCTTTCCAGGAGTTATAAAAAAATAATCTTTTTTGCTACATTTTAGTATAAAATAATTTGTTTTTTGCATCTCTTGAAAAGTTTTTTAACGGTGGGCCTAACTAGTTATTGTCTAGTGATTTCAGTTAAAAAAGTCAATTTTGTTATTGTATAAAAATAAAGCATAACAGAATTTTATTGTATATTTTATTAATCATATTAAAATAATTTTCTATTTCACAGTGTTATACTAACAAACAAACTTTTTCAAGTTAAATTATGACTGTAACTAGTAATTTGAAAGCTTTAAAATTTGTTATATTGTATATTATTAGTTTTAATAGTAATAATGACTATGTCACATAAATATCTATGAAAGAAATATTTGAAATAACATAGTTTTATCTTAGAAATAGTTATATCCTAATAGTTTTTTATAATCATTTTAATGGCCTTGACTATAAATAAAACTATAAATATTAAACTATTCATACAGGTAAACCCCTTTGTTACGTATGTTTTCTATTTTCAGTTTTTCGATAAAAGACAAATCACAATAGAATTATCATTTCAACCTTGTCTTCCTTAAAAGTTTATGGAGTTTATTTAACTACAGATCACATTATTTATTACCATAAGATTTTGGAGTTAGAGTCCTCATTATTTTTGATATATTTTAGTTTCGTGTATTTCTTGATTTATTAGGTATTAATTACTTTTTAAATTCATGCCTTATAGCTTATAAAAGTCAAAATTTTTTAATGGTTACACATAATTTTAACTAGATTATTAAATAGGAAATGATTTAATTAAAAAAGTGATTAGTTAATAACAACTTTTGGCCTTATACTTCGAATGTTATTAACACTTTTATACCTAAACGAGGAAAGCGTTGCGGTCGAGAAATATCTAATGATAAAAGTAGTTACACCCATGACTCTCCTATAACCAACATCATTAAATCTTTACAACTTCCAAAGTACTGGTTCAAAAGTTGTTATTCAACAGTTATTTTTCAAATTAAATCATTTTTTATAAACTAGTTAAAAATATATGTTATCATTAAACTAAATAATGTTGTTACTTTGTATCAAATTGAAAAGAGTGCTCTAGCGAATATGTTAACAACCAGTACCGGTGCTTGGTACATAGTATTTTCCAAAACTTTTTTCAAATTTTTGCACATTAATCTTATTGATCAAGATAAAAAAACAAACATGAAAGACTAAAAAATTTTTTTTTGTATAAAAATTTAATTTTAAGTAGCTCATTATATTTATTACTTTATATTGAATACCATTGTTAATTTACATTTATTTTTGAGCTAAAGACGTTTTTATAAAATATACACCATGCAGTGTCGAAAGGTGCAAGGGATCAATATAATAATTAATAAATGGAAATCGATTAATATGTATTTAAAATAAAAAACAGAACAATTTTCTTAACTTAATTATTACTAGTGATTAGCATTTTCGAATATTTTTTGAATGACTATCCAATAGTTTGAATAGTTACTATTCAATATTTCCCATCGCTAATTATTACTATTATAAAGAAATCTATCTATTTAGTGTTGAAAGAACCACTATGTATTATTCACATAATACATAAATATAATATTACAATTATTAATAGAAGTGTTCGCAAAAAAATTTAATAGAGACAATTTTTTTTTTTTTTTTAATTTTATTTTATTATTCTCTTAAAAGACCTAGTGTTGAAGGGGGATGACTGGTATTCTTTGCCAGGGAGATGTGCTTATTTGGAGATGTCACTATAGGTGCAATAGGATGTTGAACTCACTCAGGTAACAAATTAGCTCTCCAAAAAAAAACAAAAAAATTATGTATGTTGTCATTTACACGTAGTGTTTTTTAGGGTAAGAAGAAAATAGAATTAGCATCTTTAAAAATGTTATTCAAATAGGTGCCTATGAGCCTCATAGAAAAAAAAAATTATAAATAAAAGTGTAGCTTTATACATTATTTATAAAATTAAGTGTCTCTATACAATTAATAAACAAAAAAAACCAACGTCATTAATCTATAAAAAAATAATGCTCTTAATCTTGGCATTCAAAATATAATTTAATAAAAATAAAAATGTTTAACCATTTAATAAAAAAAAAATTTATTTTGCAAAATGTTATAATACATAAGTTATAAAAATTTACCAAGCAAAAAGTGAAAAGGGCAACTGCCCCTCCTCACTGCGGCGCCTATATTTATAAAAACTAATAATTATAACTTATTGTATACTGATAAAACTGTGAAATCAGAGGATCAATTAAGTTGTTTGTTTAATAAAATCCAGTTTTATTTTAAGCGTCGTAACATGTATATAACTTCACAATTTCGCAGATAGCGATTTTCAACACAATAATTAGATAAGATAACACAAATAAATGCGTAGAAGGTAGTAGAATTATTTTTAAATTTAATTTTATTAATAATAAATCTTGTGAAAGAACCAAAAAAAAAAAATTATATCAAAATGCAATACAAAAATAATAAATAAGAATTTTGTCATATAAAAACCACAAAACAGCTAGAAATAAACATTTTTTTTAATCGCCAAAAAACACGTTTAAATATTATATTTGAAATAGTCGTAACATGAACTGAACATCTATAACACTGTGCTAAATTATATATTTCAAACAACAAAAATAAGTAAATGCTATAAGTTCCGAGCCATGTTAATTTCTATGACTTCTTGTGACCAGTTCGAAATTTAGGATGGCCTACATGCTCTTCTATTATGCTCTTTGAACTTATTTTATTTGCTTAAAATAAGTAAAAAATGTTTTTGGTAGCTTGTAAGTCACCGTAAATTACATAATTGAATTTTGGGATTTTAAATTATTTCAATAACAAAAGTAGTTGTTTTCTATGGTACACAAAAAAATATCACTTATTTTATTAAGGTTTAATATCTGTTTTTTTAAATATTTTAACTGGCATAAGATCCCATAGAAAACTTTTATTTATTTTGATACTTTAGCATTTGGAAGACAGATTATGACATGATTTTTTTAAATATTTCACCAATTAAAGAAGGTGTTAATTAATATACAGTTTAATCCTGAGGAAACAGTGATATAACCAGGTAGCCACATGGTTTACGTCCCCATTGATCGTACTGCTTATCTCTAGAATAAAATAAAGAAAAACAAGTATAGATAATAACCGACAATGATTATAATAATTATTATAAGAAACGCTTCGATGCAATCTGTCGATAGTATTTAAT